TTTGTATTAAAGTAGAGGGTAATCCTGCAGATAATATAAAATTATGCTTAAGTGGTCCTCAAACTTGAGAGCTGCCTCTGATTCTTTTATTCCCCACTTTTGTTTATTTTGAAAAACATTTACAGGGCTCCATTCTAGAAGGGAGGAGCGTTATTATTGAATACATAATTGAGATATTTAAATTAAACCTGGCATCAAAAAATAAAAGATACATCTGCTTACCGCTCCATGCCAGTTGAGCCGATCATCTGGAATGTGCAACTCTGGGTATACATTATCCAAATACCATTTGAAATTGTTGCACTTTAAACGTTCTCGGAGCAATTTTCTCTCAGAAATATCACCATAGTTTTCCTTAAAGAAAAGAACATTTCAAAATTCCACTTTCCATTTCCCAAAGTTCTTCCAAGATAAACTGGCTCATATATTATCACCAAACTATGTTTTAGTACCACTATAAAAAGTAGTCATCGTTTGCTTATACTGATCTGAAATAGTGCCTTTATACAATATTGTACAAAGGAAGCATACACATACTTCAGTTATAACTTTGTCCAGACTTTACCATCTCAATCGTTTCAGAAAGAAAGAACACTACTTAGCTGTGTTTTAGTCTTTTAAACACATAATTTCCTTAAAGATCTACTATATTACAGAAAAGCTCCACTTAACCCTTAAAATGAAATCATGTAATACCCTGGTTAATCCGGAACATGACTCAATTTATTGTTTCAGAACTTTTTTTAAAACAAAACTATTAATATTACTATCATGAATCCCTAAATAAACTAACGGACGTTAAACACAGAAGCTTGGCACAGTCAGTAGCACCCTCAACTGTGGGTCAGAAGGTTTGAGTTCACAGTCTGACAGATACTGAAAGGAATAAAAGTTCCTCCCTGTATCCTGGACTTCCAGAATAATTGTGCATCTCATGGCTCATGGAATTTTCCTGCTGCAAAATAGCTGCCACACTTGTGTGGCAGCGTTTGTGACAGGCAAAATAGCTGCCTGTCACTACACTTGATAAATATCAATCTTTCTTTATCCTTCAATACCTTTACAGCTTGAGGGTTTCGATAGTAAAAGTGCACTTTGTATTCATCCATCCACACCTCAGCTGCTCGTACAGTATTTTGGACGAAATTTGGGCGAGCGTACGGAGCACGTTTTGGAAATACATGGCCCACATGTGAGCAGGGGTGAATCTCCAGCGTGCCACCACACTGCCATACCTGTTGAAATATTTGTCAAAAAATGTGAACATGTGAATTTCAAGTGACATAGTATCGACCTCCTTCTCCACAAACACACCCACACACCACACACAGCTGCAAAGCACAACCAAACAGCAGACACTTACCCTAAAAGACAGTTCCAGATTCTCGCCTCCCCACACCTCCATGCCAGTGTCATAGGTGCCCAGATATTCAAAATATTTCCTACTAACAGCAAACAATCCTCCTGCCATGGTGGGTGATCTGAGAGATATGGTACTTATTTGAATTAGCGTTAAAAAAAGATCAAAAGAAATTGCTGCTTTCACTTAAACATTTTAAATAAAGGCTCATATCAAACAGAATTAATTTCATGCAGCTCTGTGTAGATGATACCAATCACAATTTACTACCTGATTGGGTCTATTCTCGACTTCCTTCTCTGCCTTTCGTGTTCAGGCACACTGTGCCACTGGAAGGTGAGACGCCAGTCAAATCCCCCTATCATCGGTTCTCCAGTCTGCATGTAGTACTCAAACGTGTTCCAATCGATAGTGTCAATGACTGGGCAAACAATGGCAGTCTCATTCTCCCCAATTCTAAAAATAACATGAGTAAGAAAGGCATGAATATAACAACTTGCATTTATACAGTGCCCTTCATACAGTATAACATCTTGGAGCACTGATCTAATAAAATCAGGTCAAGTTAAATATCTTCTGTTAGTCATTTTTTAAAGTGTTTCAGCCTTTTCAATTCAACTACAACAACTTGCATTTATATAGCACCCCTCACACAGAGTAGCAGCCCAGAGGGCTAAATCATCAGTGAATTCATATTGATTTCTTAAGGTTTGACCTGTAGCTCTAATCAAATTAATTTTCTTAAAATAGCACCAAAGTAATTTAGAACAAAAAGGGTACACAGATGCACTCTCGGTATACTCGAGAAGAATGTCAGTGTCATAAAAGTTTGACATTGCATCATTTTGCATGTTCACTTTTATATCTGGCTTTGCAAATTCATCAATAAAGACATAAAAAGGCATATTTAACATTTTTATGTTAATGTAAGCAATTATAGGACTGGCTACATCATTATTTTGGATACTAGCTAGTCGCTAGGATCGGTGTTCAAATGTAGCCCAGAATGAGGAGGTAAAATCCTTCTGTGGTTTGCTGGCTATGTGAAATGTGTTTCAGCATTCTCAGTCCAATTCCTGAGGAGCAAGTACTCAACAGAAATTTGCCCTTAAAAAAAACCAATTGAAACTGGTTTGCATGTTCAAAAATATTGATATCTATATTATAAAGGGGGCTATTTACTGATCAGATTTGTGTGTTTTCACCAGCATTCAGAAAGTATTCTTCCCAGCCTTGCCTGGTTACCCAAGAGCAGTGCACTCATGCAATGCAATTTATGTTGACCTTGAATTGCCTTCCTGTTTCTTCTGATTGAAGGGAATCATTTCCAGCCAGAATAAATAGAACAGGGCCTACAAGTCCATAATAAGCATGAGCCAAATGTGTTCACTGCAGGTATTGTATTAGCTGCAGTCAACAAAAAAAAGCAAGACTTCCTCATGGAACATGAAGTACACTGAGGTTAGTGCATTGGGCATAATCTTTCTTTAGGGTTGTCTCTTTAAGTGTCAGCAGTCACATTCCTGAAATAATAATAATCCTTGTATTTGATATCGCACCTTATCACGTCTTCGAGATGTCTCAAAGCGCTTCACAGAATATACTGTAAAGTGAACTGACTACATATTTTGTGGGCATATATTTTTAGATGTTACATTTCTAGGCTTATGCAGTCCCACCATTTTGGGTCTCATCAGCTAATCTGGTGACATCAGCTAAGGCGTTGGGGCGAAGCCACACATGAGTAAACTTGTCTGTGATGTCTAAGAGTTTAAAAAAAATAAAAATCATTTTCATCTAATGGGACGGAGGGAATGAAGGATAAACCACAGACCTAAATCACAAGAGTAGAGAGCACGGGCAAGAGAATAGGGCTGACCCCCTTTCAGGATTAGGGAGGATAAGATCATGAAGGATTTGGATCTTGCTGCTGATCAGCTGGAGAACTGGAAATTAGTGGAACCATGCTAAGGATGGGTTAATAGGATTATAGAGCCTGGTGAGGATGGGGGTAATGGGGCTATGAAACCTGGTGAGAACAGAAGAATAGGTGTACAGAGCTTGGTGAGAAATGGGGGCAATATGCAGCTTGTGAGGATCGTTGTAATTAATGTATTGAACTTCACAAGGATGGAAGTAATGGGGTAATGAGTGTCAGGAACCACGTGAGGCCGGGAGGATGGAGGGTATAATGAGTCTTGTGCAGGACAGAACATAATCTTACCTCTCCAACAGTGGCTCCAACCAGCCAGGGACACACTCACAGTGGCAATCCAGAAATGTAAGCACATCTCCAGTGGCAAAAGTAGCACCAATCAAACGGGCACGTACCAATCCTTCCCTCTTATTTGTTCGAATCAGACGCACTCTCTGAAGGTTGCTGATGTACGCTTCCAGTTGTGCCTTCAGGTAAACTACAACATTGAGTAATGGAGGCAATTACAAAACATGCATGCAAATAATGTAACAATAAAAATCTGTCTGTTAGACATAAAGTAAAATCTTGACAAAAACAAGGAAGCAGATGTAAAAAAAAGTGCACCCGATATTACTGAAGAGGTTGTGTCGGCCTCAGTAATAAGGCAGGCGGGTGATAAATGACAACATCAGAAAAGTCTATCACCTGTAGCTTCTGTTTTAAAACCAGTTTGGTAAGAACCTCCAAGGAGGTGATTATGTCCCTCCCATCCCAGAGGGCACTGCTTAAGTCAACCCATGAACCCCAGTCACCCCTGCCCCCAGTCACCTCCCCCCAGTCACCGCCCCCCCCCAGTCACCCTGCCCCACCAGTCACCCTTGCCCCCCAGTCACCCTGCCCCCAGTCACCCTGCCCCCCAGTCACCTGCCCTGCCCCCAGTCACCCTCCCCCCCAGTCACCCTGCCCCCCAGTCACCCTCCCCCCAGTCACCCTCCCCCCCCCAGTCACCCTGCCCCCAGTCACCCTCCCCCCAGTCACCCTGCCCCCCAGTCACCCTGCCCCCCAGTCACCCTGCCCCCAGTCACCTCTGCCCCCCCAGTCACCCCCAGTCACCCTGCCCCCCCAGTCACCCTGCCCCCCCAGTCACCCTGCCCCCAGTCACCCTCCCCCCCAGTCCACCCTGCCCCCCAGTCACCCTGCCCCCCCCAGTTCACCCTGCCCCCCAGTCACCCTGCCCCCCAGTCACCCTGCCCCCCCCAGTCACCCTGCCCACCCCAGTCACCCTGCCCCCCCAGTCACCCTGCCCCCCAGTCACCTTGCCCCCCCAGTCACCCTGCCCCCCAGTCACCCTGCCCCCCAGTCACCTTGCCCCCCAGTCACCCTCGCACCTGCCCCCAGTCACCCTCCCCCCCAGTCACCCTCCCCCCAGTCACCCTGCCCCCCCAGTCCACCCTCCCCCCCCCAGTCACCCTGCCCCCGTCCCCTCCCCCAGTCACCCTGCCCCCCAGTCACCCTGCCCCCCAGTCACCCCCCCCCCAGTCACCCTCCCCCCCCCCCCCCCCCCCCACCCTGCCCCCCCCCCCCCCCCTCACCCTCCCCCCCAGTCACCCTGCCCCCCAGTCACCCTGCCCCCCCAGTCACCCTGCCCACCCCAGTCACCCTGCCCCCCAGTCACCCTGCCCCCCAGTCACCTTGCCCCCCAGTCACCCTGCCCCCCAGTCCCCTGCCCCCCGCCCCCCCCCAGTCACCCTCCCCCCCAGTCACCCTCCCCCCAGTCACCCTCCCCCCCCCCCCCCCCAGTCACCCTGCCCCCCATCACCCCCCCCAGTCACCCTGCCCCCAGTCACCCTGCCCCCCAGTCACCCTGCCCCCCAGTCACCCTGCCCCCAGTCACCCCCCCCAGTCACCCTGCCCCCCAGTCACCCTCCCCCCCAGTCACCCTGCCCCCAGTCCCCCCCCCCCCCCCCCCCCCAGTCACCCTGCCCCCCAGTCACCCTGCCCCCCCCCCCCCCCAGTCACCCTGCCCACCCCAGTCACCCTGCCCCCCAGTCACCCTGCCCCCAGTCACCCTGCCCCCCAGTCACCCTGCCCCCCAGTCACCCTGCCCCCCAGATGTGCAGCAGCTGCTTGTCAATGCGGACCCTCACCAGGCAACTTCTGTTGACTTACTGTCAGCTCTCACTCTGCTGCTGAGACTTACAGCCCCGCACAATGGGGGCCACACTTTGCACGGACACCCCCAGCCCCAACACCCAATACCCAACACCCGCACTGGGGCTCACACACTGGGTCTGTGTGAGAGAGAGAGACTGTGTCTGTGTGTGTGTGACTGTGTGTGTGAGAGAGACTGTGTCTTTGTGTGTGTGACTGTGTCTGGGAGACTATGTTTGTGTGTGAGAGACTGTGTTTGTATGTGTGTGTGTGAGAGAGAGAAACTGTGTGTGAGAGAGACTGTCTGTGTATGTATCTGTGAGAGACTGTGTTTGTGTGTGTATCTGTGTGTGTGAGAGAGACTGTGTCTGCGTGTGTCTGTGTGTGTGAGAGAGACTGTCTGTGCCTGTGTGTGAGAGACTGTGTCTGTGTGTGTGTCTGTGTGTATGAGAGACTGTGCTTGTGTGTGTATCTGTGTGTGTGAGAGAGAGAGACTGTGTCTGTGTGTGTGTCTGTGTGTATGAGAGACTGTGCTTGTGTGTGTATCTGTGTGTGTGTGAGAGACTGTGTCTGTGTGTGTGTCTGTGTGTATGAGAGACTGTGCTTGTGTGTGTATCTGTGTGTGTGTGAGAGACTGTGTCTGTGTGTGTGTCTGTGTGTATGAGAGACTGTGCTTGTGTGTGTATCTGTGTGTGTGAGAGAGAGAGACTGTGTCTGTGTGTGTGAGAGAGAGAGACTGTGTGCGTGTGTGTGAGAGAGACTGTGTCTGTGTGTGTGTCTGTGTGTGTGTGAGAGAGACTGTCCGTGCGTGTGTGAGAGAAACTGTGTTGGTGTGTGTGAGAAATAGACTGTGAGAGACTGTGTGTGTGTGAGAGAAACTGTGTCGGTGTGTGTGAGAGATAGACTGTGTGAGAGACTGTTTGTGTGTGTGAGAGAGACTGCCTGTGTGCGTATCTGTGTGAGAGAGAGACTGTGTGTGTGTGAGACTGTGTCTGTGCGTGTGTGTGAGAGAGACTGTGTCGGTGTGTGTGAGAGATAGACTGTGTGAGAGACTGTGTTTGTGTGTGAGAGAGAGAGAGACTGTGTCTGTGTCTGTGTGAGAGAGAGACTGTGTGTGTGTGAGACTGTGTCTGTGCGTGTGTGTGAGAGAGACTGTGTCGGTGTGTGTGAGAGATAGACTGTGTGAGAGACTGTGTTTGTGTGTGTGAGAGAGACTGCCTGTGTGCGTATCTGTGTGAGAGAGAGACTGTGTGTGTGTATCTGTGTGTGTGTGAGAGAGACTGTGTCGGTGTGTGTATCTGTGTCTGTGTGTGTGAGAGAGAGAGAGACTGTGTCTGTGTCTGTGTGTGAGAGAGAGCAGGAGGCGCAGTTGGTTGGGTGTTGACAGTTACATGCTAACAATGTGAAAGGCATTTTTCTCTGGTAAAGTGCAGCAGACTGAGGAGAACAGCGGGGGGTGAGGCGGAAGAAACTGCAACGGAATAAAGAAGTTAGTTTTTCAGTAAAACCTGGGGGTCTTGAATGACTATCAGAGGCTGACGAGAATGTGACTGACTAACTAGTGAAGTGAGTCCAGACACCCCAGGGTGTGTAACAGCAGACTTGTCAAAGCATTCCACTCTTTATCTGGGGTGTGTTACTCCTGATTGAAGTTTGTTCAGTTTAAAGTGATTCGAAGATGGTATATTGTCATTTCCACCGTCTTCTCATTTGGTTCCTGAAACCAATTACTGCTGTAGGAAATTACAGAAGCCCATTTGACCCACCACCCAGCTCCTTTCAAATATTCACATACATTATATAATATCTTGGACTTCACTCACCCACTCTTAAACAAAATACAGTATAACAACCGGCTCTGTTGTTGTTCTGCAGGTTCCCCTGCATAATTTAGATTTATAATTTAATCCCACAATCATCCTTTGCTGCTTTTCTCTGAACCATTTGCGATGCTTTAACATTCTTTTGAGGGCAAGATGCCTCAAACTGCACACAATTATTCCCAAAGTGGCCTCACCAGTGGCAATACAGGTATTTAAATATGTTTTTCCCTTTCTCAGAAGCCCGCAAGAATTGTGTCAGCAGTGACTTGAGCACTGTTTCACGGGAACATTTAACAAGTGTTACAAAGATAGTCCTGCAAGACATTGTTCACGTCACTGTACAACTGGAACATCAAAGAGGAGGAAAGAACACGATATGTGACAAATCTGATAGATCTGTAGTGAGGAATGACTTAAAGGATCGAAAAAGCAGCATTTTGCAACAAGATTCATTAATAGTGAGAATTAATATCAGAATTGATAATGGGGAATCCTACCTCAGCACCTTGGGATGTCCTCCCGACGTGAAAGGCGCTCTATAAATGTAATCTTGTTGTTGTTGTATGTCCTAAAAGAAATCTATCTAATTTGCTTTTGAAAGAATCAACACGTTCTACTTCCACTGTCTCCCTTGGGAGCTTGTTCCATACATAAGATAAAATTAAAGAAGGTTTTTTTTCTAGGCACACTCTTAATCCTTATAGAGCCAGGCAAACTACATTTAGGGCTCGCTCATCCTCCTGGGTTGCCAATAATAATTCATTAGTTTATGCTGCGGTTATGAATTTGTTTGTTTAATTGATGGACTGCGGCTGAAATTTACACCAGTCATTTTGTGTCACCTCGTCAAAGGTGAGCAATGTTTGGCCTTCAACTAAGGTAAGTAAGAAACAATATGAATCCTCCTCCCTTTTTGCCATTGCTTTAACCCATCAGTTCATTATCTGCCTCCTCCTGCCCAACCCAACTTTACATTTTGCATGAGCGCATACTTCTCATTCTTGTATGTTGCTTAAGAGCCACAATTTTATATTCTGTGCATTTTTGCATCAAATTGCTGCTCTGTAATGCAGTATAAATCTGGGTTTGGGAGCACAATTCAACCAAGAGCATTCCACAAGAGCCTTGCTGCAATGGGGAGGAGGTTTCAGCATTACTGTGAGTCACACCACAGCAATAAAAATGCAACTGTGATAACCAAGTCTGGTTTTACTCTCCAAAGACTCTTTGAAAGCTCTTATTGGCCCATAGTTCTGATTTTACAAGAACAGCTCTTTAATAGCAATAAAGCAAAACAGTCCCCGACCAATACAAGAGAGAGCGGGAGATATAAATCAGACTTCGTACTCCACATCATTGTATTGAAGGAAGCCTTTACACTTTGCTTCCAACAGTATAAACAAGGCATTTGTTTCCTAAAGTAGCAGCTGAGATTTTGCTCTTGTCTAGAGCTACTTTCAAAATTAATCACAGCTTGCGATTAGCATCTGAGAACAAAAACTCTGCTGATTTTGTTTTGGCCAGTGGACAACTTGTATCAGAGAAATCAAGTACTGAGCCAAGAGGAGGAAGGGAAATCAAAGAGAAGGAGAGGAGACCAACCGCCTCCTTGAGCCCTCCTCTCTAAGGCCACTTCCTCGTTTTAACACAAATACATCTGATTACTTGGTGTTTGTCCTGAACTTCACAAATAGGATGGAGAAACTCCACTGCTTGTACAGGAACTTGTAACCATGAAGAACTATTTTGACATACATCTTATTCTCCACAAGCTTAGCCTGCTTTGGGATTTTACCATTATTGAAGAGAGAAGAGAATGACCAGAGTGCTTTTCGTCCCTTCTCAATATGGTCCTAAAGGACAATGTCCCTCTTGAGTTGTGATGGACACCATTAGCTGACAAAAACAAAACATGAACAACAAAAATGAAATTTGAGTTGTCGATTGAGCCCCCCAACTGTACCTATGATTGTGTTTCAATTTCTGTTTTACATAATTTCTATTTAATTTGAATCATTTTGCATTTGTAATATTCAGTTATAAGTTTCCTTACTCCACACAGAGCCTAATAATAATCCCTCCAAAAACAAAAACAATAATAAATTGTTCATTTTCAATCTACGACTGTTTGTGGGACATTGCTGTGCGCAATTGGCTGCCGCTTTCGCCCACAAATATACTGTCAATTCACTTTACAGTGTGTTCTGTGAAGCGCTTTGGGACGTCCTCCCGACGTGAAAAGCGCTATATCAAATGCAAGGATTATTATTATATTATATTATTATTGTATATGTGTGTTTTCTTTGATTGTCACTAAATTTGCCTATGTCTAGATTTTATCTTTCCATGGTTGATACTAAATAATTTTTTTACATTTCAGATTCATGTATTTCTTGACAGTGCTAATTGATAGGACAAGAAGGTAAGATAAAACATAGCTTTTGCAATGAGATGAGACAGACTCTTGCGAGATATAGCACACCATCAATGGGGGTTTGTTTTACATGTTAAAATCTTGTCTTTGTTACTGAAATATAATTCCAATAACTTTATTTCCTCATTTATTTAAAATATTGATGCAACCAACAATTTAAAACGTGTTGTCTGTTGTGAATTAAGGTCGGTCAAATCCTCAGCTATTCTCCCACGCTACAGTAATTTGCCAAAGGTATTCATGTGAACAGACTCTGGGAGGGCAAAACATTTTCTTTTCATAGAATCTTACAGCGCTATATTAAATGCAAGGATTATTATTATTACTATTATTTTTAATAGTAATAATAATTAATAATAATTTAATAATATTAAATTTTTAACTCTCTGTGAGGGGTCATAAGTCTGAAATTGTTAGTCATCTACCCTCATCTAAGAGTGAATCTGTGCATCCATATTCTAGATTTTTGACCATATGAAATACATTATTAGATTCCATTAGGCTCCAGTTCATCGCTACACTTTAGAATTATGAATGTTTCAATACGGTCTCCCCTGAAAACCTATTGAAACGGTCTCCTTGTAAATCAGGTACCTAAATTCCAACAATTGTACAGGTGGCTAATTCTAGCAATTATATGGGCCTCTAATTTTTTATTCTGTATCTCATTGGCACAAATTTGGGTTTATAATTCTGCAGAATTGTTTTTTTAATTCCTAATTTGCTTTTTAAAAAATGCTTAATATTATTTAATTTCACAGGTGTGGCCTTGCTTTCTAATCATCAGAATGGAACTATATAACATTGCTGCCTTTGGGACTCAGCTGAAGAATGAGAGGGTTTTGATTGACAGAAGTTCTTTTCGGATTTCCCCACGAAATTTCCAAGATATAATTATTTTCTAATGGGGCCAAGTACTCATAAAACAGGTTCTGGTTGTGCAATTTAAAAGTTTTGATCTTACTTTTGTCCATGGAAAAGGGAACAATCTGACAATAAGGTGTGGCTTCTTCTGAAATTATATCTAGAGATTATAGGATCACTCTGTGTAAGTTTGTGTCCATGAATAAAACATCTCCCCATTAAGTTGTAAATTCTCTTCTTGCACACCCATATACAGGGTAACCAAAATGTTGTGATACATTACAATGTCTAATAAGTCTTAAAGAAATTATGATTTTTTTGTTAGATAATTGGATAGCTGAAAAATAAGACTTTTTGATCACCCTGTATATATAATAGTAATCCTTGCATTTGATATAGTGCTTTATCACATCTTCCAGATGTCTCAAAGCGCTTCACAGAATATGCTGTAAAGTGAATTGACTGTATATTTTGTGGGTGAAACGCGGCAGCCAATTGTGTCCCACAAACAGTCGTGGATTGAAGTGACCAATTCATTATTATTTTTTTTTTGAAGGAATTATTAACCCCGGAAAAATTATCCACCAATCGACCAGGTTCCTACTTACTGCTAGGTAAATATATATATTTATATATAGATATATAATACAACACAAAATTACATTATGTTGGGAGAGGGTCTCAAGGTGCTGGGTTATGTTATTTTTGTTAACCATTTTCAGTAAGTCTCAAGATCGTACCTTGGACAATAGAGATAATAAAGTTCCAGGATAATAAAAAAACTGTCTGTCAATCATTGTTTTTACTGTTCAAATTGGTTATTAGCTGATGGTTACTTTATCCACTTCAGATAATGTTTTCTTGCTGAGGTGGTATTTTGCCTGGAATAGAATTTTGCTTCTTATATCATGGAAAACGACTTGTTAGAGTTAGCATATTCTTCTTTAAATGTGTCATTATAATGATCTACAATTTGAAATTTTGCACAATAAATGAAGCTGCGAGGATTGTGACATTTACTTTATTTATACTTTGCTTCTTATTAATGAAGTTTCCCTAACACAAAATGAAAGTTAGGACATATTGTCACAAGGATGTTTTGTTCAGCCAAGACTGGTTCTGCTGAGGATCAAACTTTCCAAGCATTCATTCACTTAAAATAGTAATGGCATTTAATTATTTTAATAGCTTTCCTCACTGATATACATCATTATATTAGCTGCACATTGTTTGATTTTCATTTATCCCCTAAAGGTAAAAGGCAGTACCAAATGTTTACTCTACTGGCTTTGCTTTAACCTAGTAATTGTTTGGCACAACAGGAACCATTGATAATTCATTCCTGTCCCTTGAAGCAACAATTGTGTTGCACAACAACATCCTGGAAAAGAGGGCAGATCCTCCCATTTCTATTATCATTTCCTCAATAGTAAATATTTAACACTGCACCTTTACTGATTCTATTTTTTAACCATTGCTGCATACTGACACGTCACTGCAAACACATCTAATAGTTTGATTATCATATTGCCATGCACAACTACTTCTGAACCAGTTCTGGATGAGAGCTAACTTTCTCCACAAAACCAAATGTCAAAAAGACCGAGACCCTCCTGCTTGGCTCCCATCAGTGCCTCTACACCTTGGGCCCTGACAGCATCACCATCCATGGATGCACTGTATACCTCACTGACCCAGTACAGAACCTTGCCGTCTTGTTTGACTCTCAATTGTCGTTCAAACCCCACATCCTTGCCATGACCCGTTCTGCTTTCCCCCACCACTGCAACATTGCCTGGCTCTCCCCTCAGGCCACGAGACCCTCATCCACACATTCATCACATTCCATGCTTGATTAGGCTAACTCCCTGCTTGTCGATCTTCCCTACTCTTCCCTCCATAAACTGCAGATTATTCAAAACTTGGCAGCTCATGTCCACTCACACACGAGGCTCTGTGACCCTATCATCCTTGCCCGGCTCCACTGGCTCCCCATTCCCCAGAGGATAGGGTTAATAATCCTTGTCCTCCCTTTCAAAGTCATCCACAGCGTTGCTCCTCCCTACCTCTGTGATCTGCTAACTCCATGCTGATCATATCCGTTCCCTCCGCTCAGCGGGCTCTGGTCTGGCCCATGTCCCCCACCATCAGCAGTTGAGCCTTCAGCCTCTCTGCCCCCATTCTTTTGAACACCACCCCACAGTTCCCTTCACCTCCCCCTCCCTTGACTCCTTCAAGCCCCATCTCAAGACTTTCCTCTTCTACTCTGACTTCGGTCACCCTCCTACCCCTACCCTCCAGATCCCTCCTGATCAGCATCCAAGGCTGCACTCTCCACCTCTCAAAGCCAGTCTGGAACCTCGGGGTTCTGTTCGACCCTGAGCTGTCCTTTCTCCCCCATATCCGCGCCACAACTGGCACCGCCTTCCATCACCTCCGGAATGTCGCCAGACTACGGCACTACCTCACCCCTCACGCTGCTGAAACTCTGGTCCACGCCTTTATCACCTCAAGGCTGGACTATGGGAACTCTCTCCTCGCCGGCCTTCCCGCCACCTCCCTCCACAAGCTGCAGGTCATTCAGAACTCTGCAGCTCGTGTACTGTCCCGCACCAGGCTTCGGGACCACATCACTCCCACCCTCGCTCGCCTCCACTGGCTCCCCATCCCCCAGAGGATCCAATTCAAGATCCTCATCCTCACCTACAAGGCCATTCACGGCCTTGCTCCCTCCTACCTCTCTGACCTACTATCCCCCTACTTACCCGCCCGTACCCTCCGTTCCTCTGGCTCCGGTCTGCTCCACATCCCCCGCCCCAACCGCCCTACTATCGGTGGCCGGGCCTTCAGCCTCTCAGCCCCGAGGCTCTGGAACTCTATCCCCCAGTGCCTTCACCGCCTCCTCCCTTTCCTCCTTCAAGGCCGGTCTCAAGACCTTTCTCTTTGACCGAGCCT